TCCAAATACTACAGTAGTGTTGTCTATTTCCTTTTTCAGTTTTGCTAATGTTTGTTTTAAATATTTTGCAGCTCTATCAATGACTCGATGGCACATAACAACAACAACAACAACAACAACAACAACAACAACTATCATTTGGTGCATAGATACTTATTGTTGTTACGTACTCTTGTTCTACTGACCCTTTAAGCATTATGTTGTGACATTCCTTGTCCTTTGTGATGGTTTTTGCACTGAAATTTATTTTATCAGGGGTTAATATCATTACTCCTGCTTTTTTCTGGTTGCCATTTGCTCGGTATATTTTTTTTCCCCACCCTCTTATTTTTACTTGTTCTTTATCTTCACTTTTCAGATGTGTCTTTTGATGAATTTTAGTTTTTTATCCAATCGGCTACTCTTTTTCTCTTCAGTAGTACATTTAAACCATTCATGTTCAGTGTGATTATTGAGAGGCAAGGTTTCATTGCTATCAGTTTTCTGAAGTCTTTTGTGTTTTTGCTAGTTACTTTGGTCCATCCTCCTTTCTGGGTCACCTCTGTAAGAAGGACCTCTTTCAGTGTTTCCAGCTATGCTGGTCTTGTTTTTACACACTCCCTTAGGTTCTGTTTTTCTTGAAATATCTTGATCTCTCCTTCATGTTTGATGGATAATTTTGATGGTTGACAGTTGTGTTCTTTGGGTGTTTGATACATGTCATTCCACTGTCTTATTGTTCACATGGTTTCTGTTGAAAAACTGGCATTTAATCTTATTTGCTCTCACTTATAGGTTACTCTTTGTTTCTCTCTAGCTGCTTTTAGAACTCTTTCCTTATCTTTGGTTCTGGCAAATTTGACTATGACATGCCTTGGTGTTTATATTTTGGGGTCTATTTTATATTGTGTTCTCTCAGCTTCTTGAATATATATTCTCTCATTCTTCATCATGCCTAAGAAGTTTTCTTCTAGTAATTCCTCTACAAATATTTCAGTGCCTTTAATTGTTTCTTCCTGTTCTGGGATTCTGATTATACACATGATATTTCTCTTGATTGTGTCCTACAATATTCTTAGGT